GATAGGTAGTCAAGGGGATAAAAAGGAGATTTCATTGCAGCTTTTTCACATCATTTTTCGGCTTCATTAGCTTCCAACTTCTTGCATCTGTGGAGACAGGAGGAAGCAAGACAACTATAAATATGAAATTTCTGAAAGACCCACACATGATAAAAATGACATGAACTTCCTCCGCAGATGGAGCAGTTAACATAAGGGAGAAAGAAAGGAACGCACACACAAACGCGTACGCGTGCGCGTGTGCGCACACACACATAAATCCTGTACTTAAATCCTGTACTTCATTAGCAAAACAGACAGATGGTAATGAGCACGTGACTGCAGAAACCATACCAGTATACGTTTCCTCCTTAAAATGAAATAATTTACAAACTTATAGAATTTTGAATTCATCGTACTGAGCCAAGATGATCTGGTCAGGAATAAGTAAATGTGTAGGTGTGTTAATTCTGCTTTTTGAATGTAATACAGGCGATGGTAAACAGCTAGGAACTGGAGCATGCACTACACACGCATCTAAGGAGCACGGATATACTGGATTCCCTAGCTCCTGATCAAATAGACTTAGGCTGGGAAATCGTAACCAAGTCAACCAGAGCCGGTCTCTTCAGCACAGCTCCCCATGGGCCATCGCCATTCATCTCCTGGAACACTCAAGGGAGGCACAGTGTCCATCCACCAATTGGAGAATTAACCCAGTGTAGAGAAAGGAAAACCCTTAGAGGTCTACCATGCTGTCGCGGACATTAATATGACGTGTTATATGTTAGACTAGGAAGGCCAGGGAAAACGGAATTTCTGGAACTAGTAAGAAAAATATATCAAGGGACCTCAAGCCAAGGAGTAAAGCAGGTGTGTACCTTCTGAGGGCCACCGTCTACATTTCGAGGACCAAGGTCTATGTCCTAAAGGCCATGGTCTGTATACTGAAGGCCATGGTCTATATACTGCGGGTCACAATCTACATGCTGAGGGCCACAGTCGCACACCAAGTGCCAAGGTCTGCATTGCAAAGGCTCTGGGAACAACTAGATAGTCTGGCATCAGCCAAAAGCCATGCCGACCGACTGTCGGCTTGCACGCAACTCTTGGCTGAGCTACCAAAAGGAGGAAGGAAATCGAATCTCAAAGCCATCTAATATTTGTCTTTCATCATGCAGTTCAAGGTGTTAAACATAAGAAGATTTCTTTTTTTTTTTTTTTTTTACTTCATAGAGCCCATGAGCAGGCACAACAAAGATTAAGACCATGCAAAGGACTACAACCCTGACTTGCAACACTAAATGTCTTTGCTACCAATGCCGAAGACGTCGGAGAGCAGGATAGAGAGTTTACTGTGACAAACCAGGAACTGTTTGAAGCCTGTATTTTTTTCTACACTATTACCCCCAGGAGCATTACTTAAACTATCAAGAACTTGAAAACCTATTTACAGTGGGGATATTACAGGATATTGTCAGGATGGTTTCTCACTGAAAGCAGATTTCCCTGCAATAGTATAGTATAAGATTGTGTAACTCACAACCTTTCTGTTTGTCATGTAATACTAACATTATCAGAAAGAAGATAACAATTTTACTGAAATTCACACCATCCACACCAGCCAGAAAATGTACCCAATCCTTGCCAAAACTCACAAGGCGGTGCAGAAGCGTTCTCATGCATTTCTCATGCAGGAGCATCCACACGACTGATGCTCCTGGAACAACTGTGACATGAAGTCAGAGTCGAGGAGCCCTGGTGACGTAGTGTTCACACGTTGGGCTGCTGATCGAGAGGTCAACAGTTAGAAACCACCCACGACTCTATGGAACACAGACCGGGCTTTCTACTTTCATACAGAGACACACTCTCAGGAACCCACAGGGCAGCTCTGCCTTGTCCTGCAAGGTCCCTGTGAGTCAGAAATGACTTATGGCAGGGGGTCTGAGGTGAAGTCAGAGTCATGCAGTCTCTGCGTGGGACACACTGCCAGCAGGATTCTTGGCTGCTGACTGAATTGGTGCAGGTGCAAGCCCAGCCCACCCCGAGACAACCCGAGCTCTACTTCCCAAAGAACCGGCCATTGGAATCCCCATGTAGCACGATTGTTCTCTCACACAGATGGGGTGACTCCGTATCCACTCCGTGGTGTCTGCTTGCCATCCGAGTCAGGGAAACTAACCAGGGGGTCGCGTATTATGTGCTGTCCTTATTCAGCTCCATCTAATGTTTTGAAATGGATGGGCTCAATGGGATAGCATCAGGCCTAGTCACCATAGAGAAGCCTGGGACCTTTTTGTCTCTGATTTTTGTGATGGGATGACTTCGGATCACAGACTTTGAGAGGTTTGAGTACATACTCCCTGCCCTGAGGAAGGATGTCATTGGAAAAGTCTGAGGTGTTAGGGGCACAGTGGTAAGTACATATTATCGAACTCAGCTCACTGCCATCAACTGGATGCCAACTCAGAACAACCCTGAGGACAGGGTAGAACTGCCCCTGTTAGTTTCCAACACTGCAATTCCTTCTTTAAAATGTACTTTATTAGTTTTTTTTCTAACCGTTTTATTGGCATATAATTCACATATTATACAATTCAATAGTTTGAGCACATCAAGAAGAGTTGTCCAATCAGCACCACAAATTTTAGAACATTTTCTTCATTCTTGTACTCATCATTATTTCCCCCAAACTCCCCTGCCTTACCCCCAAGGAACAATTAACCCAGTTATAGTCTCTATAGGTTAACCTATCCTTGAATTCATATACAGAGAAACATTAAAAAACCAACCAACCAACAAACAAAACAAATAAGAATAACAAAGTAAAGCTGATAAAAACCTCAATCAAAAAATAAGGCAAAAAATATTACAATGATAACAAATTTAAATGGATCATAAAGAAGATCAAATGGCAGGGTGCTACATTTTAAATTAACTGCATCTACAGCAGTTTCCAAGGCATTCTGCATGCTAGCAAGGCTATTCACCTCCCAGGCCCGTGGCAATTGTAACCCTGTATGGGAGTAGAAAGCCCGTCTTTCTCCCGAGGTCTTTCTCCTGGTGGTTTTGAACTGCTAACCTTGCAGTTAACAGCGCAGTGCATGGACTTGAAGGCTTAAGACCTCACTCTTGAAGGACAACTCAGCCAATTGGCTAAACGTATGTCAAGCTTATGTTCTACATAGTAGTTTAATGAGTAGTGTCTGAGATCTTAAAACTTGCCAAGTAGTCATGTAAGCTACAGCTGTAGTACCTCTACATGCATCCAAAATAAAGGGGAAATAAGGAAGCTAAAGATTTGACAATGACAGTAGACCAGTGGTTCTCAACCTTCCGAATGCCGCAACAGTGCCTCATGTTGTAGTGACGCCCCTACCATACAATTATTTTTGTGGCTACATCATAACTATCATTTTGTTACTGTTATGAATTGGGCAACCCCTGTGAAAGGGTCATTCAACCCCCAAAGGGGTCTTGAGCCACAGGTTGAGAACCACTGGTCTAGACCCACTGTGTCCTTGGGTACTCTGTGATCAGAAGAACGAGTTTGTGCGTGACTACCCCTCCCAACTTCTGATCAGGGCCACAGTAAACGGCTCGCATTCGTTTGTAAAAACAACTCACCGGACCAGTTGAAACTGGAAGCCTCCCCAAGACTATTGCCCTGAGATGCTCCTGAAACTTGGAATCACCAGTCACTGGAATCACCTTTTAGCTAGGTAACAACTCGGCTCACAAAATCAAGCCTGAGTACTGTAGCCCTTAACAAAACCATCTACCTGAGACCAAATGATCAACAACTACTTTAAAAACAAAGATGAAAATGTGTGGGGGCGGGGGGGATACGGAATTGGGTGACCAGAATGGGTGTAATGAGGATGTTCACCCCTGGTGAAGCACGTCGCCCATGTCACTGAACCATTTGTGTAGCAATGAGTGAATGGGACCCAATTTGCTGGGTGAACACCACAAAGTATATTGTGATCGGTCATCGTGATATGTAAAGCGAAGAAAAGTTAGATGAGCCATGAGCTCAGAGCCATCTGTTCTCTTTTTGCATACTGCAAAGAAATAGTTGGTAACAGATCATCCTGTCCTGCTTCCTAAATAGCCTGCAAAAGAGCCCACCTCTCTCCACACCCTTATTCGCATCGTCACTTCTTAGGCCAGGGAATGTGGTACCTCTCTTTCTGCCTGTAGGTAAGGTACACTCTATACAAATACACCTTCAAACAAAGAGTGGGAAATATAATGGAAGTTGATGTATGGTGTTTCTGCTCCTTGATGACCGTCATCATCCGGGGCCCAGGGCCCAGAGCCCTTCAGTCTTGTGATTCTGTAATGGTAGGGAGGTAGGATCTGAATTTTTTTTTCTTCTGTGAACAACCATGCTTATTTGGTTATGTTGATGGCTGCTTCCACATTCCAAGGGCAACACTAAGGAGTTGTGACAGAGACGGTACAGGCTACAAAACTTAAAATATTTACTCTCTGGCTCTTTCACCCGAAGCAAACCCACTGGCAGCGAGTCTATTCCAACTCATGGGACCCTGTCTGTGTAAAATCACTTCCAAGGCTGTAAATCGTTATGGAAGTGAATCGCCTCATCTTTAACCCACAGAGCTGTTGGTGGGTTGGAACCTCTGTCTGGTCAGCATCGGATTGCTAACCAAATTAACATGACCGCTTCCCAATAAAACTTTATATACTGGATACTGAAATATGAATTTCATATCATTTCCACCTGTCAAGAAATAGTATTCTTTTGATCCCCCCCCCCCCAATGGTTTAAAAATGTAAACGGTTCTTGGTTTGAGAGGCATATCAAATGGAGCCGGCCAGGCTAATGTGCCAGTTAGGTCATACTTTGCTGACCCAGGTATGAGTGATAAAGTAAAACTAAATTTAAAATGCCATGGCCTGATGAGTCAGACTACTTAATTTTATGTGGCGGTGTTTTAGCAACTGAGCATAATGTGTTTGCCTCTTTGCCTTTTTTTTTTTTTTTTATACAGACTCTGGAAATATGGTGGTATCCCATCCCATTGCTGCTACCACACCGGAAGGGAGCAACTATGGAGCAATAGGTATTTCTCATTATGAGTCCATTCCTGAAATTATCTCAAAATTCCTCAGGGCATAGGGAAAAAAGGCCTTCCAGCCACTAATAACTGTGACCGTTGGCAAGGCGGTGATCACCATCTGAGAGGGGTTTTATTAAGAGCTGATTGGGTAATCTGGAAGGTTCTCTCCAGTTCTCATCCTCTGTGTCTCAGGGCTATCCTTGTGCAAGATTGCCCACAGTGATGCCCATCAACTACCAGAGCCCCAGCGGGAACTTCTTCAGGCCGAGCTTGCGTTTAGGACATAAAAGATATGTCCATGCCTCGTGTCAGAGAACCTATTGACCAATTGTTTCATTCTCAGGTTTCAGTGGAATAAGGGCGATCAGAAGACTAAGGCCGTGCTGCAGGTGAACATGGCTGTGGCCTAACAACCCTTCATGTTAGCTAACTTCATAACTGAACCTGCTCACTGCCACCCAGTCATTCACATGGCGATCCTAGTGTTCATTCAGTGGCCTGGGAGGAACCGAGCTCCTAACCCTTTCTCCTTAAGGGAGACTTGCCTGCCCCAGCCCCCTCCCCGGATGCTTGTGAACCTATAAATGGGGCTCCTAAATGTCAATGTAGAAGCTCCAAGAACGTTGTCCTCCTGCCCGGTTTTTTTCTGTAACCTCCAGAAGCTTGTGGGCTTAGTGCAGGCTACTTATTTCTGGCTCTGGAGGAACAGGATTTTTTTTTTATTTAACCATCTGAACAGAAAAAATAAAGTACAGCGGAAGGTAGTGTCTGCTCATGTGCTCATCGGGCTGCAGATTCCCATCTGCTGTGGGAAACATTCGCAGGAACAGAGCTCTTCTTCCTGAGAATGTTGTTTTCATTATGTAATCGTAGATGCAGCATGGGGGGGGCGGGGGGCGGCCTGTGTGCCCACACTTGATCCATGACACATGGATAACTACTGGATATATGTGCTTCCACATATATGTGGCCGATGCTAGACATCCCTATTGCATGAGGATGTTTAAATAGTTATGTTCATATTTTAAGATATGAAACATACAATATAAGCCCAAGACAATTTTTGTTGTTGTTGTTGTTTTTGCATCCAGCTAGTTAGCAGAGCAGATGCCACAATGTGCTAGTCTGTGTGCCGGCTGGGAGGTCGGCAAGTTCAATATAACAGTGGGAGGCCAGGAAAGGGGAAAATCTGCCCAGCAGGATTCAAGAGCCCATGCGTTCAGGTCCGGAGCTGACTTTGAGGCCTGCGGTGGTCTCCGGCGGCGGGCTGGCGTCAGAGGACAAGGCAGAGGGCGCTCTCTGTTTCAGACGAGTCCAGCTCCGGCCCCGGCAAGCAGGTGTCCTCCTCCTCCTCCGATGGCGGCGGTGGCGGCGGGCAGCCCTGCCAGTCCGACACTGACAGCTCCGTAGATGAGAGTGATTTCGACACCATGCCAGATATTGAGAGTGATAAAAATGTCATTCGGACCAAGGTATGTGACCCGGCCACGCTCTCTGGGCTCAGCCTCTCCCTTCCCTCTCCCTGCAGTTTCCCAAAGGGCGGAGATCCAACCCTTTTGAACAGGAAAATCCTGCTGCCTTGGCACTTGATTCTGACTCCTAGCAGCTGGGTGTCCATCGCGAGTACCGCTGGGCTCCACTGGGTTTTCAGTGGCCGCTTGTGGGGCAGCGTTGGGGTGGATGTCCAGGCTCACCCAGGGCCTCAGACCCAATGCCTTGCCCTATTGATTCACCCTTGTTTGCGGAGATTGGAAAGTTAGAGAAAGTTGTTGCCCGAGCCTGAGAACATTGAAAATAGCCCTGCGGGGTGACTGCCCGACAAGGCGGTGGACCGGGCAGACACCGACACACCCACTCTCCATCAAAGAATTGAGAGCCCCAAATCAAACCAAGGTGAGCGGTAATCCTGGAACCAGGTCCTGCAGAAGAGAGGCTGGAGAAATGGATTGAGTCCCGACTAGGGGAGGAAGCTGAAGAAAAGGTGACAGAGAAGACAGAAGCGTGGATTGTTGGCTACAGCACAGCCTCCTGAACTTCTGCAAGCAGGTCCTTGGAGACAGCACCCTAGCCCATTATTGGTTGAGGCGGAGAAAGGTGGGGACCTCTTGTGTCCTCCACACCTGCCTGGGGACCAGAAACTTGAGAGGCCCACCCTGATGCATGCCGCAGCTGGTGGCAGCCCCCTCTCCACCTGGGCGTGGAGCTCTTGGATTGGATTGGGTGTGATCGGCATCACCCTCATATCAAGAGGCCTTTCAACCCCCCTCTGCAGAATACACAGTGCAGGCTCCCCGGCCACCCAAGAAGTGGGGAAGAACTCTTTCCATAACCAGTTTTCCCGCCCGCAGCTGTGCTCGCAGCTGTGCTGGGGCTCCAAAGAATTCCCCCTGGAAACAAGCATCCTAACCACTGCCACCACCTCAGCCAGCACAGAGCTGCAAAAAATGCTTCCTACCATGGAGAGACCTGGAGGACCTGACACGGAGGGAACTTAGTCCATCACAACAACAGGCCAGGGATTGTATGAAGCCACATCTACACAAAGTCAAGAGAAGGTTCTCACGCTTAAAGGAAGCATTCTTTGATGGTTATGAGGGATGAACCAAACCCCTAAGCTCATGCTATGGAATCAATTCTGATTCATAGCAATCCTATATGGCAGACTAGAACTGATGCTGTGTGTTTCCAAGACCGTAACTCTTTTCAAGAATAGAAAGCCTCCTCTTTCTCCCAGAGAGCAGCTGGTGGTCTTGAACTGCTGACTTGATGGTTTTCAGCACAGTGCATAACCCACTATGCCACCAGGCTTATCAGGGATAGGGGAAGGCAATGTACAATAAGGGGGAGATTGGCAAAAACTGATGAAGGCAGAGGAAAACACAGTGGGGTTGGCAAACCTTAGAGACAACGTTTGCCATTTCTGTTATAAATACAATCCTGCAGTAGTGGTGATCTACAAGGCACTGCTTGGATAGACACAGAAGCTGAGCAGGTGGGAGAGGGAGAGTGGGAGTATGCCCCGTATATAGGTTTGGCAGAGGATATTTATATGTGTGTATTTACCTTTGCTGCAAATATATCTGTGAATGCAATGGAGAATACAGGGGGCAAAGTTATGAAAGCGTAGACATAAGCAACCACCTTGACGTAATGACTCATTGGGCCTGCTGAATGCTTGTTGCACATGTTTGAAAGTACAGAGAGCAGTGCTAAACTTAAGGGTTTAGATGTGGATTCTCAGCTCACTGAGCACATCCAGGTGAGCAAAGCCCCAAGTTGCACCCCTGGCCCAACAGAGTTCATGGTTGGATTGCCCCGTACATGAGCTCCCCTGCCAAATTGAAATGATCCTGACGAAAAAGGAATAAAGTGTTCCTAAACCAGAAGAGGAGGTTGCACAGAAGAAAAAGTTATCCCAGGAGAAACTGAAGAAGCAAAAAATTATGACTTGGGTAAATTAAGATTAAAATAAAATCTAATATCTATAAAAGCAGAAGGTGATTGTCTTTTTGTTCATATAACTGTATTTCGAGTGTCAATCACAAAAGACATCACAGGTTTCAATCATGCCAGAAAGAGAAATACATGGCTTCTTCTGTGTGCCCTGTGGTGTCAGCACCTTTATTGAGAACATCGTTCATGATAACATTAAAAAAATTAAACAAACACTGAAATAGTACCCAATTTATAACAGGGTCTGAAGTGGCTGAATGTGGCTGGGTAAGGGAATCCAGAGAGGTGGAAGGAAAGATTCATTTGAAGGCAGATCTGACAAAGGAAGGAGCCCTAATGGTTTAGAAGATGAAGCATTCAGCTAGTAACTGAAAGGCCAGTGGCTTGAGCTGACAGCCAGGCTGTCCCGCTGTGAGAGAAACATGTGATAGTCTGCCTCCATGAATATCCCAGCCTTGGAAACCCCGGGGAGCAGCTCTGCTCTGTCCGCCAGGGTCACCGTGAGTTGGAATCACTGCAACAGCAATGAGTTTTTACCTGACAAAGCTCCCGGACTCTGTACATCGCATCCCTTAGAAGAAAAATTCAGTTCTTCCTATATATTTATATATTGTATCCGGTAAAGGATATCAAGGCGAAACCCACAGTTTCAACTCTGTGTAATTCAAGAACAGCACCGTGGACAGCTCTGAAAACCTGGAACTCAGCTCTTGGGATGTTTCTTGGGAAACATTTGAGACACCCAGTAGCTCTTCCTTGTCAGTCAGTCCTTAGTAAGACAAGGGGAATGCTAGACTTTTTACTAAAGCAACCTACAAATAATAATTTAAAAATAAAAGTCTTGTTGAATAAGGCTAACGTTAGGGGGAAAGAAGTCCATTGTAATTCAAGAAAAGCCAACTGTGGTTTTACATTCTCTTTTTGTTTGGCATCCCAGATGTTCCTTTACCTGTCGGATTTGTCCAGGAAGGACCGAAGAATTGTCAGCAAGAAATATAAGATTTATTTTTGGTGAGTAAATGGCCAATAAGGCCATGGTCCCCTTAAGTACAATTAAAAGATACAAACACAATTTCAATATTTGACAAGAATATAAGGGTCCATATCTCAGTCCATAGGAAAACCAAAGACAAACTAATAAAAATAATGCAAAAAAAAGATGGCAGTAGAATCGTATCATTTTCAGAAAGCTGTCTTAGAGTTACCTAGAACAACTGTATTACCTATATATAGTGGTTTGCATAAAGGATGACTGGCCCATGCATTTGTGGAGGCTAAGAAATATAAAATTCATAAGTCAGGCAGCCTACTTCTGTAGGCAAAATGCCCCAAAATCTCCAGATCACGGTAAAAAAGAGTTCAGATTCTGCCAAAATATTTGTTCATAGCTTGGAGAGAGACTATGCCCTATAGAAATTCCCCTTTCAATTGATTTATTGGTTATATTACATTAGAATGCATTGTGGAAGGTGATCACATTATATTATGTTATGGAATCTCAAATGGTCTAGTGTGTGTGTGGGAATATTGGGAACCATAGCCTAGCCAAGTTGACATGTAAAATTACTCATCAAATGAGCATACTAAATCTTCTCACAGAAAGACAATGTGATGATGGCATTACTATCCAAAGATCTTATCTGACCATTACCTTCTGTCAAACACAGTAGACTGGAGCTGTTCCCTCATTGAATAACCTAGACTTTGATCGTTGGGAATCCCAAGTAACTTCAGGAACTAGATGGCTGGAGTGTTGCAGGATAGCCAAGCAAGTACTCACAAGAAGAGGATACTGCCAGTCAGTGATAAAGAGACATGGTTTACACATGGGCCAAGACTTCCCCACGGACTCTTTCTTCCCCCTCAGAAAGCCTCCAGCTGAGTGATGTTTTCTTATGACATCTCCTCCCCTTATTTTCTCTTAAATGATAAGGATATTAGAGGAAATCTAGGGACAATAGGGATGGTATGGAAGTTCTTTAGAGATTCATGATTTTAGAACTAGACATACCTGTGTGTCTGAAGCAACTCAATGGCAGAGAGTTGAGCTGAAGAGAGCCACAGCTCCTGTGTGTCTTCATATGATCTACATATGATCATATGAAGTGTTTCCATATGATCTCCTGTGTGTCTTCATATGATCTGCATCACCCATTACTTTCATTCTGGTCATTTTAATCTCATAACATTCTACAGAGATAGCCCCCCACCCACCCCTGTGTAATTTGGTATATACCCTGTTTTAAAAATAATTCTATTCAAAGGAAGAAAAATAACTAATATTTGTTGGTGTTATGGGTTGAATTAAAGAGTCCCGGTGGTGTAGTGGTTATGCATTGGGCTGCAATCCACAAGGTCAGCAGTTTGAAACCACCAACCACTCCTTGGGAGAAAGACAGGGCTTTCTACTCCGATAAAGAGTTGCCATCTTGGAAATTCACAGAAGCAGTTCTGCCCTGTGCTGTCGGTTTGCTATGAGTTGGCATCAACTCAGTGGGGGTGAGTTGAGTTGAGTTGAGTTGGTGGGTTGAATTGTGGCATATAAATTATGTTGTTTAAGCCTACATGGAAGAAGCACACCAACATCAGTGACCGATGGATTGTAACTCATATAATCTGAAGCCAAAGGAGGGAATGGTATCAGAGCCTAAATTGTGAGATTCTGGTTTGCAGAAGGCTATGGATGAAAGTGGAAGCCCAAGATACATTTGTGAGATCTACACAGGGAATACGCCTCAGTGCTTTCCCTCTCTCCATAATGGAGGGATGGGAAGAAATGAGTTACCAAGCAGAGTGCATTGTACAAATGACTGTAGGAGACCCAAATGATAAACCTGACGAGACAGTTAAAGTCTTGTCAGTTGTTCCCCCCTCTGGTACACATTTGGTCTTCTCTGGTTTTCAACATTTTCTGCTTGTTTGTTCATATTGGGTTTATTTCTGATGCAATTTGTCCTTGGGGGTAGCCCTCTAGAACTTTTGTTCTATGTTTTTCTGTCTTTCACTCTATGAAACCCAGGATTGATGAGCCTATAGAGACAGTAAGTAGATTAAGGTTTCTTCAAGGGTACAGTCAAGGGGAGGGGTAAGAGGAGCTGATGTCAAGGAGCTCATGAAGGATTGTGGTAGCCGTTGTACAACAGTGCTTGTTATGATCTCTGCATTCGCTTCAAATAAAATGGCTCTTAAAAAATAAAAATAAGTTATGTTGTAAAGCCTAAACCCTATGCCTCTGACTTTGACTAGCTGTCTGTCAGTTTGTCACACTGTGGTGGCTTGTGCTGGATAGGCTCCAGTGGACCTGCCAGATGAACTCAATTTGAGTGATTGTATGAAGCGGTCTTCATTGCAGGCATATGGATATTATCCCATCACTGGAAGGAAGGAAGAGTGGTAGCTCTACTTCTGCAACACTTGACCGGGGAAAACCTTATGAATAGCCGTGAGACATTTTCCGAGGCTGTGCCAGAGAATGAACCCTTCTGGTGAGAAGGCACACACCATAAGATGGGAATGAGCTGCCTCCTCAAAGTCAAGTCCACTCTAATTACACGGACTAAGTAAAACTTTCAGGACCTTCATTGTCTGTTCTCCAAATGAGAACCAATAGCCAACAGCATCCATTATTAATCAGAACATGGAATATACAATGTTTGAATCCAGGAAAACTGGAAGTTTTAAAAATGACAAGGAACGCATAAAAATTGCTATCGTCAGCATAAGTGAGGAGGAATGGGCTAGTATGGACCATTTTGAATCAGACAAGCCTCTGATCGACTATGCTGCGAATGGCAAATGTAAGGAGACAGTATTGCATTCATCATCATAAAGAGCATGCCAAGAAATATCTCATAATTTATCATTTCTCAAGGGGCCATGAGGGGAGGAGGGGAGGAGGGAGGGATACAAGAGGAAAGCTGATATCAAGGGCTCAAGTAGAAAGTAAATGTTTAGAAAGCGATGATGGCAACATAAGTACAAATACGCTTAATACAACTGATGTATGGATTATTATAAGAGCTGTAAGAGCCCCCAGTAAAATGATCTTTAAAAAAAAAGAAAGAAATATCTCAAAGTACAACCCTGCCAGTGAGAGGATAATATCCCTTTGCATGCAATGAAGACCAGTTAATCTGATTATTCAAATTTACATACCCAGCACTAGTGCCAAAGATGAAAAATTTGAGGATTTTTACCAACTTCTGCAATCTGAAGTTGATCCAAGCTGCATCCTTCATAACTACTGGTGATTGGCATGTGAACGTTGGACGCAGGAAAGGCTCAGTAGTTGGAAAATGGGGCCCTGATGATAGAAGCCATAAGCAGTCTCTAGTTGTTTTGCACATTAACTGTGGACCTGTAAGGGGCATATATCCCTTTAAGAAACTGACCATAGGCTCCATCGCCAATTTGGAAATAACTGTTTCCACTCTTTCTTCTCTGCACAGGAACATCATCACCATCGCTGTGTTTTATGCACTGCCTGTAATCCAGCTGGTTATCACTTACCAGACAGTAAGTGCTGCCTAACCCCAGAACCCCACCTTCCATACTGCAGGGAAAGTATCTTTTCTGTGGCTTACAAAGGGGTTAGTTCAAGAATTCATTTCCTGTGACTGAACTATTGAATTATATGATATTTAAATTACTTGTGAATAAAACTGAAGAAGAAGAAGAAGAAGACTTCATTTCCTATTTGGTTTCCAAGCAGGCTTTTCCATTACTTCATCTTCGACCTTCCGATCTAGTTCCCAATTGTTTTATCACAAAGGGTCCTGGCACTTCCTACATTCCTTTTCAACCAATCTGAAATTGTTAACTTGCCCTCATCGTTTGCATCTGCTACTACCAGTCTGAGCTTCTGATCTTCGTGAGATAATGACTCACGTACCAAAGGTGCATGGCTAAAACAGAATTCCAGTGTCTAATTTAGCCTGTGCCAGCTCATGAAAGGTAAACACTTTTCGTAGTACGAAAAACAGCTTCATACAACGACAAGGACTTAAATTTTATAAAGATATAAAACTACAATAACAGCTTGAAAATCCCACTCCTTCCTCCCAGAATCCTAGGGTCCAGGTCACTGAAGTGACCTTCTCTACAATTTATTACAGATGAGAAAGTCTATTTACAATAGCATGAGGCTGAAAGTATTTCTAGTGCAGTGGTTCTCAAACTCTGCTATGCTTGTATATTAAAATTACCGGAGGCGGGGTGGCATTTTAAAATCCCAGTGCCCAAGCTACACTCAGTACCAATTAAATTAGTCTTTGGGAGTAGAGCCAGGCATTAGTAATGTTTCAATTCCCCAGGGTTGTGAAAGACACGTTACAATTGAGAACTAATGGTCTAATAAATGGAGCCAACTCTATACTTATTAAGTGATTAGCACAAGAATTTTATGTGCTTTGAGCATTACTGTTTATAATTTAAATATTCTCTGAATTTGGGGGAGGTGTGTCATAAAATAAAGCTTCTTACATTTAGCTGGGAGCTGGCAAGGTTCAGAATTGCCCTGGTGTCTATTTCAGCATGGTTATAGTTTTCAAACCCAATATTCATCTAGAACAGAGGTCAGCAAACTTTGGAGACGGAAGTGCCAAATCATGCCTCACAACACGTTAAAAATTATTCACGAGCCTAAACATTTTTCTTACAAAGAAAATTACCATTATCTGAATAATATCCCTTACATTTCTTTTTCCCAGTTTCACTCCAGAACCACCTGTATGTAGCAAAAGAGCCGCATCCCTCGGAGCCGGCCGTTTGTCAATCCTTGATCTAGAGACTAGGACAAAGCATGATTGTCTTCCAAGACAATTCTCACTATGGGAATCCTTTCTTTCTTTCACCAGCATAGCAGAGGAAAGCACTTGTTGAGGCTGCATAATGCAGAGCAAGATGGGAGCATTTGAAGGCACTGGGCCCATGCTGTGTAAAGGTGGCCTGACTGGACCACCCCTGCTGAGAGGGCTGAGAGTGCTGCAAACCTTGTGAACCACCAGCAGCTCATCTCTGTGTGCAGGGGCTGCCTTTTATGAGTTGAGACTGGGCTCAGAGGCTGCGCGAAAACTGCACTTCCTCTCTCCTTCTTGACCTTCCAGGTGGTGAACGTCACGGGCAACCAGGACATCTGCTATTACAACTTCCTGTGTGCTCACCCCTTGGGTGTCCTGAGGTAAGCCCAAGCCTCTGGTTGCCCGTGAAGCATGTACAAAGTCTTTCCTATTGAATATTTGATTTCAGGCTTTGGGGTTTTGTTTGTTTCTTTGTTTTAATCCTACAAACCATTTTGGAAAGCTACCGTGGTTCAGGGTACTCAAACCAAACCTATTACCATTGAGTCTACTACAACTCATTGTAGCCTCTAGGACAGAGTAGAACTGTCCCCTGTGAGTTTTCTGAAGCTGTAAATGTTGATCACAGCAGACTGACACAAAGTTCTTCCCAGAGCAGCCGGTGAGTTTAAACCACCAACTTGTCGGTTAACAGTTTAACACTTCACCAGGGTCTTTTTATTTGAGGGTAGAATAAACTTAAATCAAGAATAAGAGGCCTAGGGGGGTTAAATGGAGAGAAAATGTTTTGAGAAACGATGTACAAATGCGTTTTACACAATTGATTTGTGTATGGATTGGGATAACAGTTGTATGAGCCCCTAATAAAATGTTAAAAATAAATAAATAAATAAAAATACAAAAAGGAAAAAAAAAAAAAGAATAAGAGGCCAACATCCCCTTACAGAAGGGTTGTGGGGAGGAGACAAGCCAGTCAGGGTGCAGTGTAGCAACGATGAAACATACATCTTTCCTCTAGTTCCTAAATGCTTCCTCCTACCCCACTATCATGATCCCTGTTCTACCTTACAAGTCTGGCTAGACCAGAGGATGTACACTGGTACAGATAGGAACTGGAAACACAGGGAATCCAGGACAGATGATCCCTTCAGGACCAGTGGTGTGAGTGGCGAATCCGGGAGGGTGGAGGGAGGGTAGGGTGCAAAGGGGAACTGATGACAAGGATCTACATATAACCTCCTCCCTGGGGGACAGACAACAGAAAAGTGGGTGAAGGGAGACATCGGACAGTGTAAGATATGACAAAATAATAATTTACAAATTATCAAGGGTTCATGAGGGAGGGGGAAGTGGGGAGGGAGGGGGAAATATGAGGAGCTGATGCCAGGGGCTAAATGGAGAGCAAATATTTTGAGAATGATGAGGGCAACGAATGCACAAATGTGCTTTACACAATGGATGGGTGTATGGATTGTGACAAGAGTTGTATGAGCCCCCAATAAAATGATTTTTTTTTAAAAATAATGAGACCACTTAAATAATGTTCCATACACAATCCTACAAAAACAATGATCTAAGAGTAGATGCATGGATGGACATAGGGCTGAATAGATGTGGGAGGGAGAGTGGGACTGTGCCCATGAGTATCTATAGGCTCAACAGAGGATATTTGCTTATGGGTATTTACCTTTCTGCAAATACATCTATGGAGGTGGTGGTGTATGCAGAGGACAATGTTCTAAACATGTCTTGGCCATACTCAAGCATCTTGAGGGAAGGAGTCACTGGGACTGACAGATCCAGACCACAGCCCTAGGGACATCTAGGTCAATTGAGATAATATTGTCCACAACGGAAATAGCACATCTCCTACTTTGGTGGTTAACAAGTGGGGTCTTAAGAGTTAGTGAATGGCCTGCCATCCAAAGTGCAGCCATTGGTCCCTCCCCATTCAGAGGAAAGAAAAGTGATTAAAAATAGGACCCAGGGAAGTAATTAGTCCCATGGACTAGTGGGCCACCTCAACCTCAGTCTCCACAGCCCTGAGGTTGTGCAGAGGACCTAGATGGTGTCCGGCTCCCACTACAGCTGCTCTGAAAGGGATCGCCTTAGGTCCTGGATAGAGTTCAAGAAAAATGTAGAGCAAAGCTCAGAATTATACAAAAGACTAGGCTTACTGTTGGATAATGACTGGTGGAAACCCCAAGACGCTGTCCCTTAGCCACCCTTCACCTCTAGAAATGAAGTCACCCCAATTGCTCGATTTAGAGCCAAACAATAGGCAGGTATATGGTAATACTAGGGAAACTATAATACTATAAAACTATAATAATACTATAGTATCATAGAACTATAATGATACCATCGTGTTATAAGACTTTAAAACTATAATAATACTATATAATACTACAGAGTTATGCACACCTTAGCATCATCAACCATTTGAGATCAAAATGGCAGTATTTACTCAAAGACAAAATTTAAAAGAGTTAGGAAAGATGGAGCAATGGAAACAAAACCCAACGAGAAAGTAGATAAATGACATATTGTTGAGATTGCAGTTAATGATCGGAACAAAGTACATCTGAATTGCTGAATGGAAAACATCTACTTTGTAAACCTTCATGCAACTTACAATAAAAAGGGTTTTGAAAAATAGGGTAGTGAAACCACATATATGAGGAGGCTTCAAAAGTTCATGGAAAATGGGTTAAAAGCTAAAGGAATTTCCCCATAATTTTTGAAGCCTCCCTGTGCTGCTCTTATTCTTATATGAGGGCCCCAAGAAACAGTCCTGAAAAATGAAAAATCGACACAGACAGTGGTGATTTTGAAAATGCCAGGTTCCCTAGCTGGGGCAGTCCTGATGTGGCGGAACATTGTCTTCTTCAGCCTGCTAAGCAGACTCGCGAGCATCAAGTTCCAGATCCAAACCCTAAAATTCCGATCTTTAATTTAACCTGTTCCATCTCATGAACGGTAAATACTTTTTGCATTATTCAAAACCATTACACAAAACTGAAAAACGTGGCATATTGTAAATACAAGCAAAGATAAAGAAGCAAATAAACAAAAATGATAATCACAATTTAAGAACTTTAGAATGTATTATATATTGGAAAGCCCGTTTGCAAGAGCCTGAGATGGAAGGTATTTCCAATGCAGTGGTTCACACACTTTGCTATGGATTAAAATCACCTGGAAATAAATACATAATAAAAGCAAGTTATGCTTTGCACACACACCAAAAAATCACCTGGGGAATTTTTTAAACTTTCAATGCCCAAGATATACTGTTTGGCTTGTATTACCCAGACATGGTAGTCCTGACTTCCCTTAGTCCGGGGAGCACTGGCGCCCCAGTGGGAGAACTTTGGCCTTCTCCATGGGAGACCAACTCCCGGTGCTCCTCATGGGTAGTTACCACCTGTCTGTCAGCGGAGGCGTGCTTGTTACAGTGACATTCAACAGATTTCTGTGGAGCTTCCAGGCTAAGGAAGACTAGGAAGAAAGGTCTGGCAATCTATTTCTAAAAATCAGCCCCTGACAACCCAAACAGCAGCCCAAATCACACCATCCAATCCATCACCCGTGGTGGAGATGGTGCAGGACTGGGTACCATTTTGTTTCATTGTGTATGGGGCCCCTAGGGGTTACAGGTTGACACAAGAATTATTGCCCCTTTTAGAGAGAGATCCAAAGGCTTAGGGGGAGGGTAAGGACTTGCTGAAGATCCCCCAGCTTCTGTGGGAAACAGAAAATTTTCTCCCAAGTTGTCTCCCCCCAATAGATGCCAAACCCAAGACGCTGCTTGCTACACATGGTAAATGACCATACACTGGGTCATTGAAAGTAGGTCAGAAGTTATTCTCCTTAAGGGCATCTGGAGCAACCAGACTGTATAGTCTGACTCACCCTAAGCAGGACCCACTTCCTTCTGATATTGTTCCCTTGAAGGAGAGCCCAAAGGCAGGCCTAGGACCACTCAAGGTGACTAAGGATAGGCTATTATGTTGAGTTTAGGGTCCGCCCATTTGCCACATTTGTACCCCTATTCCCTCCCTTTACTATTGTGTGTACACCCCTAGGTCATCCCCCTCCTATTGCTTGTATTGCCTATTTCACAACCCCTTCTCATAACATACATTGTTATCTGTAATCAGAGGGCTTGCATGCCCCAAAAGATATGTAAACTTTGGTTAGAAATAAAACCTCACGCGAGAGCTCTCTCCTGCCTTGTCGTCCCCCACCTCCACGTGTACCACCAAGAGAAGCTGAGGTGAGCATGCTACCACGAAATGTGTCCGACTCCATTATTTCACTCTCTCCTCCACCTCTCTATGACTTTACTATGATCTTTATAGATCTTAACCATCCAGTTGTGCCTACCGAACCCGTGATTAGTTGTGGGGGGCTGGCTACCCCCACAAGCTTCTACCACTTTTGCAACTTGATCCCAGGCAGGCTGCCTCTGAGATCAGGCCCTAGACCCTTGAGGACAGCCTTGTCTTTGAAGCAGTTTCCTCTGGCCACGGGTGAAGCAGAAGGAACAGTAGCCTGGGTGACAGAAGCCTGATTGGTCAGTCCAGGACTAAACTGTCTTGTTTGCTGGGATAAAGCTGAAGACTGTGGTTAACTTATCCTCAGAATTCACATTCGTGTAACTGAGTGTTGACACACAAAGTGGGTTTATCTCTATGAAACCACTCGAATGGCTGAAATACATGGGCAAACTTCCCATCTTTGGAACAGTTATCTCTTCCCAGGTCCATTAATGTCGGTGCCACGAGGCCAAGAGAGTAAACGTTTACTGTGTGGGTGTTCAAAGGGTGACTGGAGTAGACAAAGTGTTATAATGAAATGTGCAAAGACCTAGAGTTAGCAAAACAGAAAAGAAGGGCATTCTTGGCATCCTCAAGCTGAAAGAACTGAAGAAAGAAATCAAGCCTTGAATTTAAATGCTGAAGGATTCTATGAGAAAACTATTGAATGATGTAGGAAGCATCAAATGAAGATGGGAGAAATACACAGTGTCACTTTACAAAAGAACCAGTCAATTGAAAAGCATCTCAAGACATAGAATATGATCAAGAATGGTTGTCTTGGAGAAAGAAGTCCGAGCTGCACTGAAGGCATAGGTAGACGCTAGGTGTGGTGGTTACATAATCTCCTGTCAACTTGCACAGGGGTGCTTGATGACCTTATTTGAAGGCAAGAAGTAGATAAATAGCTCATTGGAGGTCAGACACGCTCTCTGCTTTGTCTTCCTGTTGACAAGACACATGGAGCTCTGCTGATGGCAGCCAGAGCCTTGGAGCTGGAAGAGTCAAGTGGAGACCCACACCAGTGCTAAGATCCTTCCACCACCACTGGATCCACAAGAGTTTCCACACATTGGCCTGTGATCATCCTGCACCCAGTGTCATTGCATGTGTTGCATGAGTCTGAAGAGGAATTTACAGACTGGTAACGGACATATGGGCTAATACTGGATTTATGGACTTTGACCTGGAATGGCCTGGGATGTTTTCTCAATATGCAATTGCATTTTGATATTAAGTTCTCTTTTACACACATATGAGTGTCTATGAATTTGTTTATGAACCCAGATTAACGCACTAGGAATTATTGTAATGCCAATTGAAAAGTTTGAGCAATTTGATGCATTGCTGAAAGCACTTTTCTATGCCAACAATATGGAAAAACCACTACCTGGCCAACTGACTGGAAGCCATGTATATCCATGCCCATTCCACAGAAAGGAGGTTCAGCAGGATGTGGAAATTATCAAACCATGTCATTACTGCCACATCCAAGTAAAATTTTTGGTGAAAATCCATTCAAAATCAGCTGTATCAGTACAAAGACAGGGAACTGCCAGAAATTCAAGCCAACTTAAGAAGACAAAGTGGAATAAGGGATATCATTGTTGATGTCAGTTGGATCGTTATTGAAAGCAGAGACTAACAAAAGGGTATTTACCTGTGTTTTATTAACTATGCAAAGGCATTTGACTGTGGTTATCATAAATAATTATGGGTAATATTGCAAAGAATGGGAACTTCAGAGCACTTCATTGTACTCTTGCAGAACACCACTTCTGTTGACCAAGAAGCAATTGTTCTTACTGGTGCTGCGTGGTTTATGGAAAAGTGTGTATCGGGGCTGTGTTCTTTCATCATACTTACTGGGCCAGCCAACTCTGTCTGTGTGCTGAGCATACAACCCGAGAGACTAGGCCTCAGTGAGAAGAATATGGCATCGAGTTTGGAGGAAGACTCTAAGGACAACACACGACTGATTGCACGGGGAATCAGCCACAGAAGACCTTTCTAAGGTGTTAGATAGCAAAGGTGTCACTTTGAGGTGCACCTGACCCAATCTATGGTATTCCAGTCACTCCGTGTGCATGCAAAAGATGGACAAATGAACAAGGAAGGTTGAGGCCTTTGCATTGCTTCGTTGATGAAGAATATTGAGTATACCATGAACTGGCGGAAGAATAAGCAAATCTGTCTGAGAGAAGTACAGTTAGAGTCCTTTGAAACGAGGGTAGCAAGACTTTGTGTCACGCACATGGAACATGTTGTCAAAAAGGTCGTCACACTTGGTAAAGCAGAGAATCAGCCACAGAGAGCGAGACCCTCAAATACGTGGGTTGACACAGTAGCTGCAACAGTGAGCTCGAACATGGTCATAACTGTGTGGCTGGCACAGGACGGGCCATGTGTCCTTCTATTGTCCACGGGGACCTAACATTAAAGAAACTAACAGCTGAGAGGGACCAAACACATGTTCACAACAGCAAGGGGTTCGGGGTAATTTTGGTTTGGTTTTGTTCTGTTGTGTTTTGTTTCAACCATCCTAAAATGAAAGCGTTGCATTAAAGATGATATCCAGTCGTCATGAAGCAGTTAGCCAGGGAAATCAGTGATGATTCACTCGCTCCTTCCTTCTCTGACTCCCTCTCTTGATGCTCTCATTGGCTGTCTCTCATCCTTATAGCGCCTTCAACAACATTCTCAGCAACCTGGGCCACGTGCTTCTGGGCTTCCTCTTCCTGCTGATCGTTTTACGGCGGGACATTCTTCACCGAAGAGCCCTGGAAGCCAAGGATATCTTTGCAATGGTGAGGAGACGACGGGCAAATTGGAGAGAGGTAGCTAGAAAGTATGATGGCTACAAAAATAGGTCTGCCAAGGAATATCCGGGCATTAACTTAATGTTGATGGTATAATGTGGTACCAGGAACCACATAAGGCTGAAAGAATGAGTCTCCAGATTCTGTGACTGTATCACTGATTAATACGTTTGTGTTGATCCATCTTTGTCCTCTTTTAGGAGTACGGGATCCCCAAACACTTTGGTCTCTTCTATGCGATGGGCATTGCATTGATGATGGAAGGGGTGCTCAGTGCTTGTTACCATGTCTGCCCTAATTACTCCAACTTCCAATTCGGTAAATAGAATTGATATCAACTACACAGATGTGAGTCGTAGGTGTGTTATTTTAGAACCCTCCCAAAGGCCCTAAAGTCACTTTTGCAAGAATTAAATGGTTGGTTTTTTTCCCCATGGGATTAAGTGGTCTGATGGCACCACCCCATGGAGCATCTTTCCCTCCGATTGTACCATTTTTCTCTCTGACCTCCCTTAGACTAGAAAATTGTTCCACACTAAATGTTGATCCTCGGCTAGAACTCTGCACTGGCATTGAGCTAAATGTTAGTCAGCAAGTCAAACAGAATGCCTCAACAAAACATCTGGAACGTTCCTTCCTGTAATGTGGCCTACATTAGCAGTCAGATGGACTTGGTTTGAAAGTCGGAGCAAGCCCAGTTCAGATTGGACTAAGTGATCACGTTACTCAGCTCACCGCCTGAAATCCAAAGACAGGACTTGCAGTTGGCTCAGTCTCATGGCTCTGACGGCATTTCCCCTGCGGCCCTTTGGTGGTCCCTGTCTGGTTTGCTGGCTCTCTTCCCTCTGTGTGATAAAGTAGCCACAGCAGGCCCTGGCTTTATGGCTTCACCTCGCATTGCCATAGAAGAAGGCAAGCTGACTTACAGGAGACTTTTTATTTTTAAATTTTAGGAGACTTTTTAAAAGCCAGGACATTTCTTTCCCAGAAATTCCCAGATAACTTCCCCTCAAATCTCAATCATTTAAACAGTCACAAGCCCATCCTGACCCTTTATTATTATGATTTTGCTTCTTCGTGCAAACCTGGGTTGCCGAAATCATCTTGGTAGCAAGGGAGTTAGATTAACGTTAGACCAATCAGACCTGAACTCGGAGCCAAGGATTAGGTTAAATTTCCTGAAGCAAATGTGCCAAAGGGGTTGCATTTTGGACTTGAAAAGTGAGTAGATGTCTGAATTCGCATTGAGACCCTGGTAGGAAAGAAGAGGAGATAACCCCAGGCTGGTAGACAATTAAGTAACAGTGACTTCCTCATTCAAGGATAAGGAGGCTTTTTAATGGCCAACAGGATACCTCCAGGAGTGATTTCAGTCCCAAGTTCAAAGGGTATTTTAGGGTGATAGCCTCAGGAGTTCCCTGTATCAGTACAACAAACCAAGTCTTTTTAGAAATTTGAATTTTGTTGTATAGTTTTCCTCCCATTCCATCCAGTACCTCCTATTGTGCCCCTGGTCAGAAGGGTCAGTAGTGGTGGCTGGGTGCCATCTGGTTCTAGAAGAGGCTGTGATTCTCGTGCACTGTGGGTTAGCCCATTCCTTTTTAAGGACGGTCCCAGTCCATAATAAAATAGACCATGATTATCAACTGCTCTACGACCAATATTTAGACATTGCTACGTCTTTTGCTATTAAAAACAACAGTGGAAGGAAATTTCATGACTCGTCTCTTGATGCATATGTGAGAGCAGTTTCCTGGAATACTTAGAAGTAGGATTTGAAGTCACTTAATTTGGCTCTCTTCCATTTTGCCAAAAACTGCCAAATTGCTCTCTGGAGTATTAATTCCCACTCACCGTAGTTTCATGAGAGTTTCCATTTCTCCATATCATCCCTAGCACATTGTTGTTTTTGACATTAAAATTCTTTTTGCTGAATTTTGAGTGACAAAGAAGTCTTAGTCACATCACACTACTGTAACAACAACAACAAATCAACAAGCACGCCGGTGGCTGTAAATGACTAACATGTATGTCCCCAGTTCTGGAGGGAGCTGAGGCTCAGGATCTTGGTCCGACACATTCCTTCTGTGGTCTTCTAGTTTCTGGTGATTGCTGGCAGCGCTGGACATTCCTCTTCTGGCTATAGAACCACCTATGGCATTTCCGTGTGTGTGTGTGTGTGTGTGTGTGTGTGTGTGTGTGTGTGTGTGTGTGTG